TATTTTGTTGTAAATCTATCATTGCAACCATTACATTACTTCTGATAATTTTTCTTAATTGCATCAACTTTCTAAGATAAAAGTAACTTGTTTTTTTATATTTCTGCTGTTATTAATAAAGCTATTTCTTTTTAGATTTTCTGAATTCTTAACTTGAAATCAATCTTTCTACTAGTTTTCCTACTGTTCTTTGTTGTCAATATTTATTGTATTAAATCACTAGAATAAGTACTGATCAATGTGTATATTTAACAAGTTAATCTGTCAGAGATTTTAACTGTTCAAGGTTTTTTGCTGATTGTGTTTTAATTTGGAAATTAGAAATCTGGACTAATGCTCTGTTTTCAATCAACTGTATGCATAAAAAGCTTATATTGAGAAAAAACATTGAATCAGTGTAATGGAATTAAAACTTTTAGGTAATATTTTTTTAGTTTCATAATCAGTTTTAAAGTTTGTCCAAATATTTGTTTTAAAAATTTTATCCTGTAAGATCTATTTCTATATTTCTAAATTTTACTTGTCTTTAGTGATGTTTTATTATTTGTCATTTAAGATTAATTTTAATCCTTATTCCAAATTGGACAGTACAGGCCAGCCTGTTGAGTATTATTAGGCATAGGTACTACTTAAATTAGATTAAAACTTTCAAATATAAATCTCCTGTAATGAACGAGTGAGAATGCTGAATCTAAAGCTAAAGTGACAGAAAAATATACTTTTTATTTTGTTTGTTCACTTTTATAATCTCATGTTTGGAAAATAAATTAGAAAGAATTGAAAATTTAATTTTGCAATAAACTAGTCTTTGTGAAGTTTATACTAGCATGAGAAAAAGCTCTTGAAGATTACTGCCATTTTGATGCATTGAACAGGATCCTACTTGAAAAATTTGATACTTTATAAAGACAAAGAGCTATCAAGTTAGGAGGCAGTAGCTTCACAAATTTGAGATAACTGGTTAATAAAAAGGAAAATAGACTTATGAAACTGGTCCTTTCGTATATTCAATGAACTAAAATTTTTGAAAATATATTTTAAAGTATTTGTAAATTTACTTCATAGTTATTTCATATTTTTTAAAATTTTTTGACAGTTTTCTCACCCCCCCACCATGCATGCATGACACTCATATATTATCATTTGTTAATATAGTATATGCTAATATAATAAAAAGAATTGATTATTTAAATGATATTGGTTTGTATTATCAGTTGTTTTCTGTTTTAGAAATTAAGGAAACTGTTTTTGAATTTAAAGTCTCTTTCCCTATTTTCAGTCATCCTAGGTATTCATATCTAAATTCTCTTTTAGTGATATTAATATGTCAATACTTTCTTTTTTTTATATTAATGTTTATTCACTCAGCAATTGTTTCTGAAAGTATTTTAATCAATAACATTTTGTTTTCTGGTGTTTTTGCTACAAATCGTGTTTATCACATACACACACACACACACACACACACACACATATATATATATATATATATATATATATATATATATATATATGTGTGTATATTTTCATGAATTCCTTGAGAATGGCTTTTGTTTTGAGAATTATCTTTCATTTAAGTTCACATTTTATTCTTAGAACATTTTCTGCTAAATTCTTGCCCCACTTATTTAATATTCATTTTTATCATATTTCTTATAGAATGTTCTTCTCTCCGGTTTTGTTTACTAAATCACTCAGGACTAAGTTGATGTTTTTATTATTAATCATTTTGGAAATAATAAAATGTTTAATACAAATATAAATGGTGAAATAATTCTGAATAGTTTTACTTTGCAAAGCAACTAGTGTTTTATTTTTTAAATAATACTAAAATTATTGTTTATTAGTATAAAACATTTAAAGTTTGCTATTACTCTACTGCTTAATATGTTTTAATATTTTTATTAGTTTTCCCCCTACCCAAAATTGAGCTATTAAAATGTAACTCAAATTTATTTCAATAGCAAGTTTAATTTATTCATTGTACCCAAACACTATTTTCATATGCAAATACCAATAATTTTCTTGGTTTCTAGAAATATTTTAAAATAATATCTTATTATATTTCCATCTAAATAAGCAAAAGAGTGCTAATATTTCAAATATTAGAAGGAAACATTGCAAGCATCCTTTGCAAATATATATTGCAATAAATATCATATAAACTATATTTTACATCTATCAAATGTAAGCTTACAAAAAAGAAAATTATCAATATTGTATTTTTTATAAATATTCTTGTTAATTATCAAAACTATATTTTATTATTTGATGTTTATACAGCTTGTAATTACAAAATATTTTTAATTAGTAACAATAAAGGCAGGCAATCTTAAGTAATCTTATAATATTCATGAACAAAAAAAAAAAATTAAGTTCCTAAATCTTTTATTAAAAGATTAAAAATATCAAATCCTATAAAAAATAAAAAATGTCATGAAAATTAAACATGAAGTTGACATTGTTTTTATGAATTCACCAAAATCCAGAAATGTTATCTCTTTACAAAAGAGAAAATTGACTTGTATTTAATTCATAATTAGAAACAAATTGAATGCTTATTTCAAGAAATCTTCAAGTCCAAAACATTAAATAGAAAGGAAGCTGAAAAGGCTTTTTTTTTTTTTTTAACCACAATCTAAAGGCAGAACAACGAATGGAATATTTACCTTGATTTTTATTCTGACTTATAACTGATTTACTATAATTTATACTTAAGAATTAGAGCAGGTAACTCACCTCACTAATAATTATTTTATAAATGTCAAGTTTGCTTAGACAGTTTTTGATTCATTGTTTAAGTTTCAAAACTTTCAATCTATTATTTGATCTTCTGTTATTCTTAGGTATTTAATTTGTTTAATTGTGCTATTGTTTTTGTATTGTTTTGCTTTCTTGAACCCAAATATCAAATAAAGATAATATCTATTTTCTAAAGCAATATATTTGCACTATTTCTAATTTTAATTTGTATCTTCTATTCTTATGGTTTATTCTAAATAAAAGTTCATCAGATTGCTGTTAGATTATTGATACACATTTTTTATTTTGTCTTAAGCAAGTTTTATTTTTTTATTTTATATTTTTCAACCCCTGGATATAAAATTAAAACAAAATTGTTCATTTGCTATTATTTATATACTCCAAAATTAGACTCATAAAACAGTGGTTGTATTTATTCTTTAAATGTAAAGGCAACTTTTGAAAAGCTTTTTAAAAAAAATGTTTAAATAGGCAAATAATGTTACTTTTTCAAATATCAGATTGTTTGCGCTCTAATAACTTTGGTTTAGTCTTGATTATTCTTTTGTTCAGGATTATAATAGTGAATCATTTTAAACTTTTTTTTATTTCCTAATGTGCAATTTTTAAAAAAGGTAAATTAATATATATCTGCAGTTTTCTTCTCTAAGCTTATTTATACTCAAGATCTTACCAGTATTGTTATATGTATTTCCATTATAACATTTTGGTTAGATTTTAATAGTCTTCAATTATTTTGAACTTTTGATTTAGAAATAATAATAATAATAATAACAACAACAGTTTGTCTTAAGAAAATATCTCTGTGTTCTCTTGAAAGACAATCTATTGTAATAAATTCAGTTGAACATCTGTATTAGTAACCCCTTTTGAGTTAAGATTACTCCATTCTTCCATTGTTAAAAAAAATCATTAGTTGATTTTTATGCTTTAAAAAAAAATAGTAATTCTTAAGTGTTATATACCTATAAACAAAGAATAGAACTCTCACAGTAGAAGAAAAAATTACTGAAGTTATCCAAGAAATCTACTAGTTGTTATCTGTTGTCTCTTTAGAATAAGTAAATGTGCAACATGTCCTGTTTGAAGTCTATTTTCATGTTTCATCTTAAAATAAAAATCATTTTTTATGCACATCATAAATATAATGGCTTTGCCAATATTAATACAATAATAAAACTAAATAGCATGGAAATTTTTCAATGAAATAAAAAGATATTTTTTTGTAAGTATTAAAAAGTTATGTCTTTGTTTAATTTTATACTTGTTTTTTCTTTATTGGTATCTTCATAAAACATGGTTTGAGAGATAATGATTGTTATACTAATATATATATATATATATATATATATATTAAGTGATCATAATATAATTCTTTGTGTGTGTTTTAAATAATAATGAGCTTGTGAGTGAGATAACTTGTCGAGCTTCCAGGAAAGCAACCTTTTGCCAAACCTGGCCTCCTCAAAAGAAACTCTAAAATAAGTATATATCTTGAGTGTATAGAAATGTATCTTTTATCAAGATTTTTTATTCTACTAAATTAAAAAATATACAAACCCATATATACCTAAAATTAAATTATCTATTCTATATAAAATAGTCTTAAATTCAGGTAAAATTTTTAATACTGCAAAATCATGGACCTGTCTCTTTTGATGCTGTGTGTGTATATATACGTATGTGTATATATATATATATATATATATATATGTGTGTGTGTGTGTTCTTCTCTACTTGATATCCTTAAATTGTTATAAAAAATGTTTTTATTATATTAAATATGAATGAATGCCTACCAAATATTATATGATTTTGCAAGCTTCCCTGTTGAAATCAATCAATTTGCAGATGATTTTAATCTTTTTTGTTCCTTACAAAGTTTTGATTTTCATATATTTTTCATTTAATGTAGAAATAAAAAAGTCTAGATGTATTAAATGTATTCTGATTCCTGATTTTCTTATTTGAGAAGTCAGTTCCAGTGCTTAAATGATTTCTAATTCAGAATAAATAAAAAATTTATACTTCTTTTTAATTCGGGCAGTAGGAGGCTACTAGAGATTTGTCTTCATTTTAATAAATTTTCTTCTGGATTTAGTTATATTTGTGATGTCATATGATAAAAGATCAGGTAGTTCTTTTCAAAGAGCATTATTACAGCAAATTCCTAAACAATCTGCCAGTTTGGTTTTGAGCAAATTTTGTAAGATGCATTAATACTTATTACAGTTCTTATGACCCTCCCCCTTCCTCTAACCCTATCGATAGCGGAGGTAGAGGAGGATCGTAATCTGTGTTATTTTTTTTAATTATTTTTAACATTTTACATTTTTCTCAATTTTCATAAAATATATTTCTTTCACAAGGGTCTCTTTCCGATTGATCAGACATGGCCAAGTGGAATTGATTAAAGAAACAAACACAATAGGCGACAAACAATGATAGAGACAGGAAATATAAATTTATTAACACACATAAAAATGTGGGAAGGTAAAATATAAAAAAAAAAACGGCTAAAACAAAAATGACAATCTGTCAAGAATAAACATTTAAACATTGTGGACAAAATAGTGGGAGGAGAACATCCTCTAAGAAATGGTAAAATACAAATCAACGTATGGCCTTGTGCCATACGTCCACGAATTTACAGAACATGTGCCATATTTGTACGAATTTACAAAACATCAAAATTTTAAGACAAATAGAAAGAAACATGTAATAAAAGGATCTCATGCTGGACTTGCATGAAAGTACAAACATGGAAAAGGAGTACATTTAAGCAAAAACGAAGCACAAGGAAAACAACAAACTTCTTTTCCACTAATGCCTCTTATATCTTCTACTTTTTTTCTTTTTTTTTCTTTTCATAAGCATCTCCTTTGGGGGTCTTTTCTTACTGTCTCTCTTTCTCTTTTTGTCGTCTAGGGACTTGGCCGGCGATTAAGCAGAAAATGTGTTCCCTCTCTCTTTCGTGTTGTATAGCAGCTTTCTTGCTTGAGGTAGTCTGTTCTTTCTTTCTTTCTGTTCCTTTTTGTCCTTTGTTTAAGGGCTTGGTGACAGTTGAAACTGCTTTCTTTCTCCTTCTCCTCGGTGTGACATCCTTTGAGATATTTTCTTCCGCTCTTTCCTTTTCCCATAAGTATTTCCTTTTGAGATCTTTCCTCACTTTCTTCTTTTCTTTTTCTATAAACTGTCTTCTGTCTCTCTTTCACCCCGATGTCACGGCAATCCACATACGTCATCAAACGGGTCCATCTATTCCACTTGGAGATGAATTCTCCTCGCAACCTCGTGAACACATCTTTTCAGCCCATATGCCGAGACAAGTTTTGCACATGGACAAATTTTGTGAACACGTCTTTTAGGCCCATATGCCTAGACAAGTTTTGTGAGCATGTCTTCTCAGCTTGCAGGCCTAGACGGAATTAACTTTTCCATTTCACTATTCGTTTCTGTTTTTCTCTTGTCATGTGGTCAATTTTCAAATACAAACTTTTTTTCATTATGGGTGGAATGAGGTCATTTACCCTCTCTCTCATCTGCAGGGTCAGAGAAAGTCTAGTTTAAAGTGTTTCAACTTCTCCCATTTGAAATCTATCTGTGTAAATCATGCTGTCAACACTTGACCAAAAGAGAAGGAAAGGGTACATTCTGGTTAATCTTTGTTGCCACTAAGTCTATCTATCTCTTTGGGTTTACCGTTTTTATGTTTCATTTCTGCATGTACTGGAGTCTTTATTTTAGAATGCTTCTAAAATATAAGCAATGGTATAGTTTTTATAATAAATTTAGATGGGGGTTCGTAACACAGTACAATCTTTGCTAGTGTAATATAAATTCATATTAGCAATATCATGAGGTTAAAAATCTATACATTCAGCTGTTTAGAAGATTAATGGAAATTTAAGCCAGATGATGTTTGATTGAACACTTCATCTGGCTGATTGCATTGGATAAAGCTTTTGCAAATTTTAATTAATATTTACAAATTATTGTAATCTTTTTAATAATATACTCTTTGAGGGGGGGATTTGATCCTTTATAATTTTATAAATAGATATCTATCGTGTTGAACATAACCCTCCCTTCCTCATTGAAGAAATATTTAAGAATGTTGCAGGAAATGGAGTTCTGTGAACATAAAGTTTATTCTTTGAGTTACTGGAATTTGAAAAATGTTTTTAATATTGCTGTAAGTGAGTTCTCCAGAAGAAATGCTAACTGTAACTTGTTTTATATATTGCCAGTTTGAAAAATGATCACCATGCATATATTCTATGTTGTACTGATTCATATCTCTAATTTATAGTAGATATACTATTAACACCATTATTTGTATTACAATTTACTGAGTTAATTTGCTTTCATTTTATTTTATAGAAGATAGATCTCATATACAAAATTAATCCATTCATTTTTAAGATATTTTGTTTATAATTTCAGATAAGGTTTTAGAATTAAGAGCTATCATGTATTGTTTATCCAGTGTTAAATAGCTTAAAATAGAATTATCATTTCTAAGATTATATATACATTTTTGGTTTGTCAATAATAAACGTTTTTACCATTCATTTTGAAAGAGTATTCTATATAAAAACAGTTATTTATATGGTGGTAGTTGTAAATTTTTATGAATTATTTTTGCATAAAAAATCAAACCGTAAGAAAACTCCACAAAAATGACACTTTTAAGATTTTGCACAAACTACATATATTAAAGCATACAAAAGTATGTATATACTTTTTGAGGTTAGTTCAAAATTTTAATGAATTTGGCATTTAAATATAGTAGTGTGTATTGATAACAAAGTAATGAACTGAGCTACCCAATTTCACAGTGGATGATAGTGATTTTATTTATTAATAAATTTTACTTGTGAATGAAACGAAATATATCAGAATAAAACAAAATGTATAGTGAATGATTAAAGTCTGGTTCTCATAAGCTATTATTATTCTGATAAATCTATAAAGAATTTGTAGACTCCAGATAGAGATGTGAGCTTGAACCTTATCTCAGCTCATTTTATACTGTTATGTCATTTAGAGTGTAAATATATTTCTTAATTTTTGTTTTTGAAAGTAAAAAAAATATATATTTGAGCATACGGTCTTTCCTTTTCATTTATTGCTTGATTTCAAATTGATTGGAACCTAAAGTAAATGTGTGCATTGTTAAAGGGCTTAAAACATAGTTTCCCAATTTTTTATTTCATAAAATCTACATTTATATTATAAATTTTATTGAAAAAAGATTTTAAAATTTGAGAAACTTCCTTGGAAAGGTTTTTTTACTTCATTGTATGTATTATTTTGTTAATCATATAAAAATGTATAACAAAAAGTTTCATTTGTTGTTATGTACTGAAATAAAAAAGTCTCTCAAAACAGGATGAACAGCTTCATTTCAGTCTAATTATTGTTTGTAAACATTTATCAGTATCATTGATTAAAAAAGAAAATACCCAACAACTCAGGATCCATGATTTAGGAAAAGAAGTATTAAAAATGAAAGATTAAACAAAGACATAAAATGATTGATTAGAGAGAACTGAATTTCAGTCAATAAATACTGTGTTCATGTCTTGTCTTTTCCCTTTACTTTTGTTGCTCTCTGTGGAAATAATATTTCTGTGTAGAGACTGAAACCTTTATCAGATTACAATTGGGAGATCAATTTTTCCCTGCAGAAGATCAAACCCGGAACTATCTTCAAAGCAAGTGGTGTCAGCAAAGTGCAGTGATAGCTACAGCTACTTGCTCATACAATTGATAGTTGTCAAACAGGAAATAGACCCAAACAGCAAAAGTAACTGATGCACAAGACAGACAAATGCAGATGAAGAGAAGAAAACAAGAATTAGAGAAGGATGAACAGAAAAGTTGACTCTTAAAGTGCTTGATGCAAAATGTTGAAGATTTATTTTTAAAATAATATGAATGATGCTTTCATCCTTTACAGGTTTTAGCTTGAAAAAAGAAATAAAAAGAATAAAGCAAATCAATCATAAACCCTTTTTGGCTACATTTTCTTTTTAAAGACATATTTGTTAAAGTTCATGTTAAAAGAGAAGAAAGAAAACTGTTTAGAAGCAGTGGCTTAAAACTGGTTAGAGTAACATCCCAAAATTAATTTAGATAAAGAAATGTGAGGAAATAGAAAATATATGTTTTGTATTGTAAATAGCAACAAAAGGTCAGTGTTGCAATTTGCCCTATATCTCTCAATGTAAATGTGGTTTAGGAAAGCATACTCATAGTGTAGTCAGAAAAGAGAAACATCACTCAAAGGCAGGTTAATGATAGACTTTTTTTTAAGCAAATGTCTTAAATGAGACTAAAATGACAATACTTAGTAATAGTATGATAAATGTTTCTCAATAAAATGATTAAATAATTTTGTTTATATTTAACTCTGTTTAATTGAAATATTCATTCTCTGTTGAAGGTGAAACCTTTTCAGTCTGGGATCATAAAATTAGACATGAAGAATCTAGTATCCTAAAAGAAGTGCCACAAATATAAATAAATTTGACTTGAGAGCAAGTAATTATTATCTTTCAGTTAGTTTAAGTTTAAAATAAGTGTAATTGAACTGTTCTTGATTTTTATATTATTTCTGTAAAGAACAAATTTATTGACTGTAATAACAGGTTTCTCTACTTTTCTTACATCTGAAATAAATTTTGCAGCTTGTTTTGGGTTTTTATTAGTCCAAAAATGTTTCCTTATAAAGGAAGAAAGAAATTTCATAAATGTTTATTGGATTGCATATAGATTCATTCAAATTATCTGTTTGTGAAATTTGTCAGATGCATACTTATGATTCTATAACTGATATTCTTTTAATGAGGGGGTATGGTTGATTCCTTATTTTTATGCCTACAGTTCTTAGCTGTTTTAATTTGCCAAAATAGTAATTAAATGTTTGTTGCTTTATTTGAGGCCTTCAGAGTTTATGATTTAAAAAAATGTTAGATTTGTATCATTATCATTTACTATTATTTGGTAAATAAATGGAAATGCATATACTATACTAAATTTGCTTGTTTATTTCATGGACGTTTTGATATGAAAGCATTCATTCATTTCTAAAGTTGAGACAACATCTGTTATGCATAGCTTAACTATCATTGGCTAACAAGAACAGAATTGATTAGCATTATCCTAGCTGAATCTTTTGGCTATTCATTCTGCTTGATTATCCTTTATGAGTTATTAGCAAATTTTGACTTTGAAAATTATTGGTTCATAGTTTGGGAATACAATATTTTTTTAACATAATAAAAAAAAAAAAAACACAGCTGTTGTAATTATTATTGTTGAGAACCAACACCTGTATTGATAGCATGGTGCTTTGCTCTATCTTAAACAATTACAAGGATAATACTCTTTTACTATAAAAGCATTTTTCGAATGAGTATGTATTTGCTGAAGCATTTAAAATAAATTGATACAGAACTTTTTTCTTGTATAAGTAGTTTATTTCTCTCTCTCTCTATATATATATATATATATATATATATAATCATCTTCATTGAAAATGGCCAACAAGGAAGATTTAATTAATCTTTTATTGAGTTTTTTCCAGCATTTTTCTAACATTTTTCTATTTTTCAGGGGTTAAAGAATATAAGAACTGTCCATAGTTATAATTGTTCAGATTTCTTTTGGCTAGTTCTATAGCCATTATCAAGGATGTTGTTTCGATGGTGAATTTCTCTGTGTGGCTTCTACATAGCAGTTTTGCTGTGTGGAGTATGTGTGGCAGGGGTTGTATGCTTTTTTGGTGGTCATGTGCTATGTGTGGCTGGTTGACCTGGGTATCACTTTTATTTTTAGAACACTTTTAACATGTCATCCCCACAGCTAAATAATGTAAGATTCATAGCAGGAGAACAGTATTTAATGAGCAATGTCTTCCTAATGATGATCTGTGTAATGACTATGTGACCTGAAAAGAATCTTTGTATTATAGACTAGAATTTTTCTTAAAGGTTCTTGTAAGTTATGAGTTAATAAATATTTATTAATTGCACACTGCTTTGAAAAGTGGCATGTAAAATGTCTACTTAAGGAGGTAGTGCTGTGTCTGATATAGGTCATTGATTTTTGATACTGTCTTTTACTGGGCATTGGATTTAGTACACTATATTGGTCACTGCTAGTTTGGATTTGGTTTAGTTATTTCGGTTGGTGACAATGAGATTTGTGGTCTTCCATTTTCTGTAATATATTATGAACTTTATATGTTTTCCAAAGGTTACAGCAGAAATATCATGTTTATTTTATTTGATCACATGAAAATAAAACATTTACAATTGAGCAATAAAATTGCAGAAGGATGTATATACCTATGTTTCAT